TTCGTCAACGACATCTTCGAGCGCATCGCGGGCGAGGCGTCGCGCCTGGCGCATTACAACAAGCGCTCGACCATCACGTCCCGGGAGATCCAGACGGCCGTGCGCCTGCTGCTGCCCGGGGAGCTGGCCAAGCACGCCGTGTCCGAGGGCACCAAGGCCGTCACCAAGTACACCAGCGCCAAGTAAGTGCCTGTGCAGCACCCCTTACTCCAAAGGCTCTTTTCAGAGCCACCCACTTGGTCGAGAAGACTTGTAAACACACATTTGAAATCTAGCTTAAACGTGCGATGATCTTGAGGTATGAGAATCCCTAACACCGTGCTGGAAACTCGGGTTAGAAGGTAACCGGATATCCTACCAAGGTCCTTTTTGTATGCGATCAAGACACCGCGCTTAAAAAGACGAGGTGTGGTAACACCGACGTGTGTACACAATGTTTCTGCCTGTGCCGCGAAAACGGGTCCTGCTGTCGGGGTGTAGCGTGGCTTCCTGTTTATATACTCTTTATCAGCCGGCTGTGCCACGTGTCCCTTTTTCTCCACCATCCGAGTTCTAATCTGCATACAAAGTAGTAAATTGGGTCCACAATGAGCTTCCCAGAACGCAGCCTTTTAGATAAGCAGTTATCCCACTGTGGTAGGCCGCACAACCTCATGAAAACGACTTGGAATGCCTAAAGGGACGTTAAACTGTCAGAAGAAGGCTTTCGCCCAGCTTTGTGTTTTAAAAAATTGGCCTGCAGCCCATTTGCGGTTATGACAATGCCAGACCACCAGGAGGGAAAGGGAGGCAAAGATGAGGCGCATGGTTTTTCTCCTGAGTAAGGGGATGGAATCGGAGGGCTCACGAAAGATCTGATGTGACCGACTTCCTAGTTTTTAAACTACGTCAAAGGTGTAAGGCTAGAGAGACAAGTGACAGGTGATTTAATGGGGTAAAACTAGGGCATATCAGGAAGCACTGGACTCTTGTTCGGCCTCTAATTGAGCAAACTATTTAAGGTCTGCATCTGTTTCCTATTTGTAAAAAGACATGGGTCTGAGCTTTGATTCCTTTCAGCCGTCCTGTGCTACCCAGAGAAAGAAAGTGTTCGTGTGAAAGGAGTGGGAATAAAAATGATTTTCTCTGGCTCACACCCTGACCAAGTGCAGAAGTGATCGGAATAATTGAATCAAACTGGGCCAGTCACAGGCAGATCTTGTGCCTGTCTTGACACGTTTCCCCAAATTCTCCACTAGAGGACTAGGACCCGTGACCCACCCACTCTGATGGCTGCTGTCTGCTGCCTGATTTAAAATATTCCAAGTCTGGGGTAGAGAATATAACGACTGCAACTTGGTTCTTTGACATGGCTGGAAGTGTCTCCATTTTGCCATTTAAAAATGAGGACAATAAAACCATGAATATTACATGAGATATCCATGCAAAGTATTTAGCACAAATTTGAGTCAACTTTCAATATATCTTAGGCATTATTTCTTCTGTCTTTTTCATTCTTTTGTCTCTCATAACTCCTTGCAAATGTTGGTCATTCTGTTAATCATTCTGCTATGAGACTAGGAAGATCAACCTTTTAAGAGCTCTTTCAGAAAAGCCTAACTGTCCAATTCAAGTCAAATAAAAGATAAGCAGCCTAAACTTTTTTGTCCACTGATGCCTGCAGGTTCTTTGTTTGTTTCTTTGAATTGAGGGAGAGGGAAATAACTCATATGAAAAGGCAGCATTCACAAAAACTGAAAAATGTAAATCCAACGTTATTAAAATTAATTTCTATGCATCTAAAGATAGTAATAACATTTAAAGACAAACCAACCCACAAGATGATGGAATATATTTGTCAAAAGCTGACAAGAGATTAAAAGCCAAAAAGCATAAATACTTACAAAATCATAAATGAATTTCAGGAAGTAAAAAAAGTGAACAAAGAACAGGCTGTTCCCAGGGGAAGGGAGGGAGGATTCCCAAATAGCCAAAATGTCCCATAACAAAATAAGCAACTTTATTATAATCATAGAAGTGCAATTTAAATGCACAAGGAGATTCCTTAGACTGGCATACTTTAGTCCGACGTTAGCAAAATGTTGAAGATATGGACTAACAAGAACTCTCAGTACTGGTGAAATATAGGAGGGTAGACTAAAATATATAACTCTGGAATACAAATTGCTCATTCCTGTTCATGTTTAATATATACATAGCCTATTACCAAGCAATTCCATTCCTGGATATGTAAGCAGAGAGTGCCCAGCTGCTCATTACAGCTCTATGGGGCAGGGCTGGGGGGGGGGGGTGTAAAGCAATTTAAATTTCCAACAGATAAATGAATATATAAATTATGTACTATTGACACACTACAAAAGATAATGCAAATAAACACATTACACATTTCAACACTATACTTCAAAAGCAAATGTAGAAAAACATTTCATAAAAATGGATATAAAAATATATATATTTAAAAGTTTATAGAACGTGTGAAATGATGCTCTATATTGTTTAGAGTTATGTCCATTTAAACTTAAGAGAAAGCATGGGAATAACAAACACCGAAATGATACTAGGGAATTCAAGAGTAGGGGGTTAATTCCAGGATACGAAAAACAGGGTTATGCTGCTAAGAGACACATGGAGTGATGTAACAGTATTTGAACTTAGGTGGTAACATTTAAGTGGTGTGGTTGCATTAGCATCTTCTGTGTACCTGATCCATTTTAGTACTTAAAATGTACATTTAAAATGTATTTAAAAATACATTTAAAATGTACTTAAAATGTAGGGTACAAATATATTATCAAGGCTCTTAATACTGCCCAAATATGTTCTACTGCAGTTTTAAGTAAGCCAAAAATATAAACGGTCCACTTTAAAATAGAGCGGGAGCTGACATCCCAGATTTACTGCCTGGTTCCTTTTATGCCTCAAACCTTGGAATGTTAAAACAGCAAAATATACATTGTACTGGGTCTAGGGCAATATTGTATCCCGCAGATATTGCTGTAACTACCTGACTGATTGATGGTTATGCACAACACTATTTGGGCTTTGTCTGAAACTGTGCTTCCAAAACTGCTATTCCTGATTAAAGATAAATGCGAATTTGTATTGAAATCCGTTTCATTCAAGTCCTTTTTCAAGTTAAAAGTGGAGGAAATGCATGCTACGAGTCTGCCACACTCGACCTCTAAAACACCAGACTTATTGAGAACATGCTTGTTAGTGTAGGACTGGGTTCTAACATCCCAGACCTGACCCAGCATTAACCCAGGTAGACAATTCCAATCCTCAGCTGGAATGAGGGCCCAGCAAAAGATTCACCGCCACCAGACAATCCTGAACAGGTTAAAATCGTCTCGACCTACATTTTAACCAACCGTATCAGTTAACCTAGAAAACGGACCTAAGAAACTCATTAAACGGCCAGGTGCAAACAGTTGTTTGCAGGTAGTGACTTAAGCTCTTTCGATGAAAACATGGGGGCCCTGAAAAGGGCCTTTGGTTTTGCTACAGAAGGCGAGCGCGCGGGTGGACTCAGCCCCCGAAGCCGTAGAGGGTGCGGCCCTGGCGCTTGAGCGCGTACACCACGTCCATGGCCGTGACCGTCTTGCGCTTGGCGTGCTCCGTGTAGGTGACGGCGTCCCGGATCACGTTCTCCAGGAACACCTTGAGCACCCCGCGGGTCTCCTCGTAGATGAGCCCGGAGATGCGCTTGACGCCGCCACGCCGGGCCAAGCGCCGGATGGCGGGCTTGGTGATGCCCTGGATGTTGTCGCGCAGCACCTTGCGATGGCGCTTGGCGCCGCCCTTGCCAAGCCCCTTGCCGCCTTTGCCGCGTCCAGACATTGCGAGATGCACAGAGTACAATTGCGCGGTCGGTCGCCGAGGCTCCTTTTTATAAGGAGCCTAGCGGACCAGAGTGAAGACCTAAGGACCTGCAGCAGGAAGTCCCTGTGGGTTGGGGGGAGGGAGCCAAAAGCGGAACCGGCCGCTTAGGCTGGCTCCTTTGTTCTTTTTCACGCAATTCTTTTGAATCCTAAACTCTTACTCTCTTTTTCTTTTTTCCCATTTAATACGTTTCGAGCGCCATCCTCATTAAATACTTTAACATCGTAGAGATACATAGAAAAGCGAAGAGAAGAAAATGTCCCGTGTTTATCGCTACATACACACATGTATTTTCTAAGAGTATTTGCATAACACTGCCATTTGGAACGTTTTTCTCAACATACAGGGGAAATACATTCCACATACTGACTTCCTAGAAATAGAACAAGATGGAATAATAGAGAATTTTAAGAGCTTCCCGGTACAGTGTTAAATTTTCTTCCACCAGAGATACCAATTTTCATTTCCAACAGCAGCTCCTATCATGTCTTACTTATAATGGGTAGAACCATTTAAAATATATAATTCAGATTTGGCTTCTTATATAATTAACTTTAAAAATATTAAACACATGGTTAATCAGTACACCACATTAAATATTTCCCCAATGATTTAAGGAACTTAATTTATATATTGAATTAGTTAACATTAATTCTGGAGTTTTAATTGTTTGTTGATCAGTCTATATGTAGTGCCAAAGCATAATTATTTGTAATGTTGAAAAATATTTTAGCAGTTGGCAGTAAATTAGCACGTCATAATTATTTTATCAAAAAAATTTTATCACTATTCATTTTTCTTAAAATTACAAATGATTTTATCTAGTTTTAATAAATTCTTTTAGTACTCTGGTCAAAACTGTTAAATCTATATTTACTAAAATAAATTTATTTTTGAAGTACTGGGTCATCCTGACAACCACTGAATCGCTGCAATCCAGACGTGAATCTCAGTAGATTCTTTCCTACCTAATATATAATTTTAAGTAATTAAAAAAAAACTTCCATTAATTACAACAGCAATTAATTTCTAATTAATGTACATGTAGAAAATACAAATTCAGGGAAAAGCAAGTATACTTCTTTTGGTTTTAATTCAATTTCTTCAACATTAATAAATTGGAATACATTTTACAGACTCTAAAAATCTATAAAATTCCCCCCAAACGTTAGCCTCCCTCCCTGTTTGATTTCCTGAGTTTTTGCAAAGCAACTAGTGATAACAAGGTTAGCATAGGATGCATATGTGAAGTTTGTCGGACTTTTGTAGTTCCTGAAATTATAGCTAAAGGTGTCTATTCTTCTATAAACATATTATTAAAATGTAATGGTATCCAGGCTGTTTTCTAACATATGGAATGACTTAATATATCAAATAAACTTAATTAAAATCAGGGCATTTTTCCTCGTGTCTTTACATTGTCTCATTTGAAGGGGAGCAGAATTTGCCAGCCCAAACTCTGCCTCTTTGGCATAAGGATTATTTTGGAAAAATAGCAGACACAAGAGAATCTCTGAACAAAGTTACCCTTTTGTAAGGGACATTAACATTTGTAAAGGAAATCTCTATTTGCAAGGGTCTGCCTTGGGTACCAGGAAGAGGGGATGACACTCAAGACAGTCTTATAAATGGAGAGTCCTGTACTCAACCTGCAGGACAATACCTACCCTGTTCATCTCACTTTTCCTGGTAACCTCTCATGATTGCCCTCCCTATGCCCACCGCACACCTTTTTCTTTTGTCTTTTGCTGAAGATGGTAAATAAGGCGGTGGCTTGGGCGGTTTCAGGGAGTTTATTCAGTTTTCCTGAGTATCTGTTGTGTACATGAAATATACATGTTAATAAAATTCTGGTTGTTTTTCTCTTGTAAATCTGTGGTTTACTCTAGCGGGTCTCAGCCCCAAACTCAGGATAGAGGGAAAATGATTTTATCCTCTCCTACACAGTCCACATCCAATCTGTCAGCAAGCTTTATTATTTACCCTTGCAAAATATATCCTGTATTTGTCTATTGCCTCCAATTGCAGTCAAGCCACCATTATCACTCAAAAAGATCACTGCAACACCTTCCTAATTTACATCCTTACTTCTGAAGATTGTACTCACCATGCAGTTGCCTTAGTGAGCTTCCAAAGAAATGTATATGAGGTTATGCCTTTCCTCTGTTCAGAACTCTTAGAATGGACATTTAGCATGATTTGCAGAACGCACATGGTCATAAAGCCCCACATGATGGACCTCTGCCTCTCTCTGTGAACTCATTCTGTCCTTCATAGTCCTTAAACATTCTTGACTTGAACTCCATCTTCAACTTTGAACTTCTCAGCCTTGCTTACATTGCTTATATGTCCCATCTATGCGAGTGCCTCAGGATTTGCATTGTTCTTTGCTTAGAACACTCTCCCCAAAAAAGCAACATCATTTACTGCCTGGGTTTATTCCAATCTCTGCTCAAACACAATCCAGTCAGAAGTTTCCCAGGATCATGGTAACATATGGAAGGGGCATGAGGACTATTTGTACAGAAGGAACTGTGAACGGAAAAGGGGCCACAGGTTAAACCTGACAAGCTCAGGAGATTGAAAATAACCACATAAGATGGCGTGAGCATAAAAAACTTTCATAACCAAGTGGGCCATGGTGGGAAGTCACATCTTTAGCTTCCTTCATAAAGTTAGGCTGTGCCTTTTCAATGGGCTTCTCTGTTTTTCTGCACCTAAAATAACATTTTAGGAATGTCAGTAATCCTCTTTCTGGACCGGAGCTGGAAACTGCAAAATTCCTTGTTATCATGCTTATCTCGATTACCATCTCTTTGCGCTGTAAAAAAGCTAACTGTTAGCTATCCTGCACCCACCTATGTGTAAAAGTACCTGTCCAATTTACTTTTATCCAATCCCAGAGGTTTCCCAGTTTTGCTCTCTCCCACCCCCTTAATCTTTCACCAATGGATTTCATGTAACCTTCCTCCTTTGATTTTATGTATAAAATAAACTGTAAACCGCCATTTTGCGGAGCATTTTCTCAATCTGTTGAGATTTTGTTTCCCAGCAATTGTCGACAGTTTGGCTCAAATAAACTCTTATAAGTTTTCTCTTAGGCCGGATGCTTTTCGTCAACAGAACTAAGAGGTTGCGTTCCAAGCCTGCTGCCTGCGTGCTCCAGGACACAGAAATCGGGCAGATATTACAATGACACAGAGCAAATTCTCCGGAGACTGGAGATTCCATTAGGACCGTTCCTGCAGTTACGTGCTTTACAAGAGTTAGACAAAGCTGCCCCATTCCTGTATCTTACAGAAGTTAAAGATGAACTTACCATCACTCTTCTGTCCTCCTTTCCCCCATACCAACAAGTTTTCCATAAAAACAGAAGACACAGATAAACCCTAGTCTAGGAGATGGAGGGGCTCTCTCTTCCACTAGCAATTAGACCTCCACCCCGTCTATGGGTGGCCTTTGTTTTCTTACTTACTCTCTGCTAAATAAACTTATTGCACTTTAAATTCTCCCATTTAAATTCTTTCCTACATGAAGCCAATGGTAATTCCTGTAACAATGGTAGTGGGTTGAGGAGTGCCCCCCCCCCACCCCCAATTCCTGTGTACCTGGGTCCTCAGAATGACACTTTATTTAGACATTGGGTCTTTGCAGGTGTAATTGTTAAGGATCTCAAGGTGGCATCCCTTTGGATTTAAACTGGGCCCTGAATCTAGTGACTGCTGTCCTTACAAGAGGAGACACTGACACAGGGCAGAGACCGTGAAAGAGGTAGAGAGGAGTGTAGCGCAAGCCAGGCTGGGAGGGAGGCTCAGTGATTTCTCCCTCAGCTTCCAGGAGGAAGCAACCCCGGTAGCACCTTGATCTCAGACCTCTGGACCTCCAGAACTGTGATGGGATTAATTTGTTTGATGTCATCAACTTTGTGGTCAGTTTTTACAGGCAGCCCCCAGTAAACTAACAGTCGCTTAGAAGAGAACCCTGACAGCTGTTCCTGTCACTCTTGTCGCCCCTGGACCTGTTTTCCTTATAGCAACGATCACAACCTAAATTATTTTTTCTTAGTTTTGAGAGATCATGAGTGCCTATCACTGCTAGTTACTGTTGCCAGCATTTTTTTGCCCCAAGCTATTTACACTAAAATGGGAAGATCTTTTTAAACTCATGAATAAATTTATACAAGAAATTACATGTGAAGTTATATTTCTTCACTTTTAACCTGGTTTTTCACAATGTTTTGCTTCCAACAAGGGAGATGGGGAGCGTTTAAGTCGACTTTCCGCATTTCGTTACTTTCGTTTCTCGTGCAATATGAAACAAATGTTAAGCTTTTCAAGAAAATATCGGTGGCCCTGAAAGAGACTGGCTCCCGGATCAGAGTGCAGGGCCGCTAAGAGCTTCACTTTTAACCCCGAGGGCGGGCTACACTGCTGGCCTTAATTACCTGTGACACAAATTATCTCTCTATATCTGTTTTAGTGGGCTGATGGTAACTTGTTTGAATTGTAACTTTCAAGCGGATGGTTCCTTTTACCTCTCTAGCGTGTCACTACTGACATCTATCGACCAACTGCGGTAAACGTAACTTTCAATTATCCACCTAAATTAAGGAACACGCGAGCCCTTTTAGTGAAAAGGTGGGTGGCTCTGAAAAGAGCCTTTGGTTTGGAGTGGACCTGCTGGAGCTGCCGCCGAGGAAGCGGACCTCTACTTGCCCTTGGCCTTGTGGTGGCTCTCGGTTTTCTTGGGCAGCAGCACGGCCTGGATGTTGGGCAGGACGCCGCCCTGCGCGATGGTGACCTTGCCCAGCAGCTTGTTGAGCTCCTCGTCGTTGCGGATGGCCAGCTGCAG